GATACATACCATCATGGAGGAAAGAATAGAGCACCTCTACCTGGCAGTAGAGAAGTATCTCAGGGACCAGTTTCTCAAAGAGGTGACATTTCAGCAGGTATGGAAAAACAAAATAACAAGTGTTTTGAGGATGTGGAGAAATTGAATCTGTCATTGCTGATGGGAATATAAAATGGTGCAACCACTACGGAAAGCCATTATAGCACCTACTCAAAAAATTAAACAGATTTAAACTATGATCAGGCAATTCCACTTTTGGGTATATACCTAAAGAATTAAAAGCAGGGACGTGAACAAATATATATTTTTTCAACTGAGTAATTATTTATTGAGTGTCTGCTTAGTGGCTCATCAGCAAAAAGACACATGGGAAACACAATTTCAGTCATCAAATGCCCATTTCATGAAAGATACTGTACAAGGGTGGGGAAACAAAGACGGTTAAGAGAAATCACTAGGCGAGGATCCTGGTCTGATGAAGGAGACTGAACAAGGGGTTTGGCCGCACGGTGGGCCTGGCTGTGCGCGCAGATGCACCAAGCACTCCATTCACATTTGGTTACTTGGGAGTGGGTGTGGTATGCTCCAGGGATGGTAAAGAATGAGGCTATGAAACAAGAATGTCTGCTGAGACTCTGGATGACCTGTGACCAGTTTGGTACAGCTATAAGACTAATCACCAAGATAGTCTGAATTTGAGCTGATAATAAAGACCTTCTGCAGTTTTGAGCAGAGGAGACATAATGATTGAGGGCATATATTTTGACACCACACAATCAGGAAGTGGCATTATAATTACAATTTTGAGGGTGAAATACCATTATTCCTGGTTTACATAAAAATTTAAGAAGCTTGCCTAAGTTCATGCAGCTAAAGAGTGACAAAGGCAGGATTTGAACCCACTTCTAAATCCAAACCCAGAGATTTTGAGCATTTTACTGCGGTCTCAGAATCTCTAGGCCAGTGATGGCGAACCTATGACACGCATGTCAGAGGTGACACACGAACTCATTTTTTTGGTTGATTTTTCTTTGTTAAATGGCATTTAAATATATAAAATAAATATCAAAAATATAAGTCTTTGTTTTACTATGGTTGCAAATATCAAAAAATTGCTATATGTGACACGGCACCAGAGTTAAGTTAGGGTTTTTCAAAATGCTGACATGCCGAGCTCAAAAGGTTCGCCATCACTGCTCTAGGCAGTCCACCATCTAGGTTTGTGGTGTTTTTTGTTGTTGTTTTTTAACAGATTTGACATCCTGCACCAGCTCATTTCTATACTTTAAGCTATTTAAAAATGAAAAACTGTTAAACAATGGTGGTTTTTGCAGTGCCACTGATGAAAGAAGGCTTAAAAGGGGAGTTTTTCAATAGGTGATACATAGTAAAATTCAAAGAACACAAGCAAAGAGGCAAGTTCCCCCCAAACTCTATTCCCTTATATAAAGGCAAACACTATCAACCATTTCTTGTGTACAGTAAGGATTTTCTATCCTATCTAATAAAAGAGAAACATGGTAATTAGCCGTACGTCCGCTACCCTTCTCATTGGCTAATCAGGGCGATATGCAAATTAATCACCAGCCAAGATGGTGGTTAATTTGCATATGTAGCCGCAATGCTGGGAGGCGAAAGGGGAAGGACTGAAGAATGGTGATCGGCAACCCAGGCGGCAGGCAAGAGCTGGGGGGTGGGCAAAGGCTGCCTTCAGCCGGTGATCACCATCGGAAAGCTTGTTGGGGTTGCCGGGTGGCCTGCGTGGAGCAACTGCCATGGCGATTGGAGGGCGGGAGGGCCTGCCCCTGCGATCGGAGGGCAGAGGGCCAGGCACAGGCCAGGCCGAAACCCCAGACCCCACGGGGGCCAGGGTTGCCGTCTGGCCTGCGCCCAGCGATCACCATGGCGATCGGAGGGCGGGAGGGCCTGTGCCCGGCTATTAGAGGGCGGGAAGGCCAGGTCGCAGGCCAGGGGGCAACCCCAAACTCCAGGGGCTGGCGGCTGGCCTGCGGCCCGAGATCGCCATGGTGATCGGAGGGCGGGAGGGCCCGGGAGCAGGCCAGGCGGCAACCCCAGGCCCCCCAGAAGCCACCTGCCCGCGCCCATGTGCAGCCACAGAAACAGCCTGCCCGCGCCCGTGTGCAGCCTCTGAAGCCGCCTGCTCACAGCATGTGCAGCCAGGTTTGGTTACTAAACAATAAAGAAAGCAACATTTCTTGCACACCGACTGTGTGGTCTGAGTTTGCTGCTGCCTATAAACTGAGAAAAAGTTGTAAAATGAAGTACTAATCTCTGGAGTTTAGGTCTCTCTAGGGTTTAGGTCAGACCGAGGAGTAGTGCCACTCAGCCAGAAGCTGGCTCATGGCTGGCCAGTGCAGTGATGGTGGCAGGAGCTTCTCCCACCTCCGTGGCAGCACTAAGAATGTCCAACTAACAGTTTAGGCCCGACCCTTGGGGGCCTAAGCCTTTAGTCGGACATCCCCCGAGGGCTCCCTGGCTGCCAGAAGGATGTCTGACTGCAAGCTTAAGCCTGATCCCCCAGGGAGTGGGCCTAAGTCAACAGGTGGATATCCCCAAGGGGTACTGGACTGTGAATGGGCGCAGGCCAGTCTGAGGGACGCACCCCTCCCCCCCCAGAGTGCACAAATTTTGTGCACCGGGCCTCTAGTAAATATATAATCAGCAATGACAGGTGCTTGTGAATTAAAGATGGCCACAAACTCTTATCTCCTGTCCACTCTTCTCATGGACAGTGGAATCTCTCTCCCCTCTACCTGCATCTGGAAGAGCTTTTAACCTATAGACTGCAGAAGTGACTTTTAATATCTGCTTTCATCCACTTGAAACCCAGCTGCGAGAATCCCAACCCATATGAAAAGGCCACATTAAAAGGACCAACGTGCTTCACAACAGCCCCAGCTGAGCTCCTGGGTGACACCAGCGCCAACGGCCCCGCAGAGGAAAGCCCCAGATGGCTGTGGAACGAAAGCACAAGCTGAGCCCAGCCACCACAGCACTTTAGGACTTGTTTGAAATAAGTTTTAAGGCCGCTAGTTACACAGTGGCATGCTAAACAATGTGTTATTTAAAAAGTAAAAAAATAAAATGATTATCCATTGTTCTTATTTTACTTACTTTCTTGGATATCTTCCAGTAAGGCCATTACATGGATGGTACAAAATTCATTCAATGTTCTTTCAATGAAATTTTGGTATTTGCCTATTTTCTACTTGTCTAAGTTCACGCAGCTAAAGAGTGACAAAGGCAGGGTACAAAAAATTCATGGACATATTGCTCCATACATGTAAGAGTAGAGTGGGCCTTGACTTACGAGTGTCCCGACTAACGAGTTTTTTTGAGATACAAGCCGTCTCTCAGCCGATTTTTTGCTTTGAGTTGCAAGCTCAAAAAAATTTGGGTTACGAGCCAGCCTCAGATACCCCACCGCTAGTTGGCGCAGCGAACTGTAAGATTTAAAATTACTGAGTTGGCAAATTTTATATAATGTGTATTTCATCACAATCTAAAAAAACTAAAAGCAGGCAGCTATGAGATTGGAAGAGAATTCCAGGTAGAAGCAGTAGCCTGTGTGAAGGCATGGAGAGGGTGAGGTAGGAATTGTGACTTCAGTTTTTCAATGAGACATTTAGAATATTATGATCACCACTAGAGGCCTGGTGCACGAAATTAATGTACCGGGGGGCGGGGGCGGCGGAGAAGGGGTCTCTCAGCCCAGCCTGCGCCCTCTCGCAGTCCAGGAGCCCTCGGGGGATGTCCGACTGATGGCTTAGGCCTGCTCCTGGACATCCTTAGCACTGCCTGGAGGCAGGAGAGGCTCCCACCCCGGCTGCTGTGCTCGCCAGCCGTGAGCCCAGCTCTGTGCTGAGCATCTGCCCCTGGTGGTCAGTGCACATCATACTGACCGGTTGTTCGGCTGTTTGGTCTATTTGCATATTAGCCTTTTATTAGATAGGATTACTACTATGCATTTAGAATCCTGATGCAAAAGTCTGGCTTCCTCAGATTCTAAAATACCTGTGTCTCTTTATGCCACATTCCAGAGACAGTAAGTAGCAGTTCACTTCCTTAATAAATACTTACTGAGCATTTACTGTGTGCCAGGCACATAGGACTTACCCTGTCCTCCTGGAGGTCAGTTTAGTGGTGAGACCCACAGCCTGGCCCCAGGTCACAAAATTATATAGCCTCAGTTTTGGTAAGTGCAGTAAAGGAAAAATACTTGTACAATGAAATTGTTCTAAAAAGGGAGCTTTATTTTTGGAGAAGCAGTGAGGAAAAAAAGCCTCTTCTGAGGAAACATTTAATATCTATAAAGGAGTGACTCAGAAAAAAAAGTCTGGGACCTGTGTTAGCCAATAGGACAAAGGGAGGGGAAGACTGATGAAGGGCAATAAATAATCAGGGAAATAAATAAATAGGTGGATGGGTGGAGCTAGAGGAAAAGTAAATGTGATATTTTATTGAAACAATGTGTTTCATTTCCTACCCTGGAAAAATTGCCCAAGTTAGACTCCAATAGGCAGGAATCACAGTGCCTACAAACTCAGTGTATTAAGTTTGCCAATAGGCTCCTAAAGTGTTTTTCTGAACTTTCTATTCTTAAACTCCTGCACACAAAACTCAGAAGGTGAAAAGGATCCAAGTTTTTCCCCCAGGACAGGGCCTGAAGAGTGAGGCTTGGTTCTGGGAAGGAGAGAATTCCCCTGGAGAGATGCGGCCAGGCTTCACACTTTGTTGCCATCCCCGTCCCTCCCATTACCCTTCCTCCTGATCTTGAAATATGAACGAGTAATCCATCAGCTACAGTTGAGTGGCATCTTAAAGGCTACGGAAAAGGGAGGCACTGCCGCCCCCTACCCCGCCCGCGACTGGGATGCAGGAGTGCCGCGGCGGGGTGCGTGCGGCTGGCGGGGGCACAGGTCCGCAGCCTCCTGGCTTCACAAGTCCCCGGACACCTGAGGCTCCCGGGCCCAGCTCACCCTTCTCCTTGGTCACTCGGGAGACCAGCGGCATCCGTGGACGGTCGCTGAAGGCCTCGGCCTGCTGCACCAGCGCCTCGCGCACGCTGTGGAAGTCATTGAGGACGACCACCAGGTAGGGGCCCACGAAGAAGCTATAGATGTTGCCATAGACTCGGGCCAGATTGGTCAGCAGCACCTGCGCGGCCGGCGTGGAGGGGTCTAGGTCTGGGATACGCTTCCCGAACTTGACCCAGCTCCTCCCGCGGAGGAAGGGCGGCAGCAGCACGAAGCCGAAGTTGCCCACCACCGGCCAGGGCGTGGGCCCGGGAGGGATGCCCGGTGGCCGGCACCGCCTCACCCAGCTCCACCCGAGCAGCGCGGCCAGGCCGAGCAGCAACAGCGCGCCGCCGGTGGGGTCCAGCCTCAGCAGCCCCAGGGGCGCGGGCAGGAGACTCAGGGGCCAGGGCGAGCCCTCGGGGGGCGGTGGCGGCGCGGCGGCGGCCATGGCCAGTGCAGGGCGGCCTTGGCGTCCTCCCCGCAGCCCCAAGGAGAGCGCGCTCCTCGCCGCTGCCCGCTGGGAGCCGCGGCCTTAACCAGAGCCGGGAGGGCGGAGCGGCGGAGGGCGCCGGGATTGGCCGGCCCCTGGCTCTCTCCCGCCTCCTAAAGGGGACGCCCCGCCTCCCTGCAGGAGACGTCTGCGGACGAGGGGGGGCGCGCAGTCTGCGAGCTTGGTCTCTCATGGCCGTAGCGCCCCTCCTTTGGGCCCGGCTTGGCTGTGGCAGCTCGGGAAAACAAAGATGCTGGCTGCGCGTGCTTGCGCTCTGATTGGCTGCTGGGCCTCCTTAGGCCACCCGTTTGTAGATGGAGTGTATACATCCTGCGGGGACCATAGGCCCCTGAGGAGACTGGGCCTCCACCCGCAGCTCCACCCTGAGCTGGGAGAGGGAGTTTCCGCCCCAGGCCTGGGGGCCAAAAGACTGGGCTACTCTTTAGATCGGGATTTGCAGTCCAAAAGGACCCTTTCCTCTTCCCAGAGACCGGAGGATGACGATGACGCAAACGCAATGTGTTAAATTTGTAGGTGTAGGTGGCCAAGCTACGCGAAAGATAGGTAGTGGGGGGGGGGGGGGGGGGGGCGGGGACGGTCATGGAGTCAAGCTCTTAGAACTTGCCAGGGTCGGGGCCGCCTCTTTTTGCGGAGAGTGAACGCTCAGAGTTCGTTTTAGCCCGTGGCCTGGGTAAAGCACACAACCTCTTTTAGGAACTTGCTTTAAGAAGCTGCTGATATAAAGAGAAAACGACTAGGGTAAGGAAGGGTGACGATATTATTATTGATGTGAGGTGAAGACATTATATGAGAATTGTATAATAATTTTAAGACAAAAGTCCATCTTCTAATCTTCATAATGGCTTCTAGGTACTTTTACCTCTTCTACAGACTCCTCTGGTTTTATTTTATTTTATCTATTGAAAGATCAGTTTCATATGAATCATCTTAACTGATCATCATGAACAAATCTGTTTCCTTTTGTCTGATTGTTGTGTATCCTGCACACTCTGAAAGGCTGAACACCATGCAGCACTTACAAAAGTGCGACCACAGCGTAGTGAGCCTCCTTTATTTGCTCTGCGGCCCTTTCAGTTTTCTATACACAAGTGATGCCAGGAAGCTATGCTAACTTTCGAGTCTACTCTGTTCTAATACTATTTTTGCCATGTTCTTCAGAAGTCATTTGAAGCTTAATAAAAAAAACCAAAAAAAACCCCACTTCATATCTTCTGTAATTAACCATTAATTTTAGATTATTTTTCTCATTTTTTTTGAATTTGGAAAATTTTTAACATTTAAACTATGGTATTTGTTTGCAGATAAGAACTTCAACATGTCATCTGATTCTCTTCATGGCCTTGCTCTCTTAAATAGTAGCCAATAACATCTTTCCTTACAAGCAACTTACATTCACAAATGATTTTAAAATAGTTGAAGATGTGACTAATTTTCATCCCTAACAGACACCCTCTTGTTATAATTGCATTGATAGCATTTTCTTAAATAATCTCTTTTTTTTTTTTCGTTAGATCTGTCATGCAGTTAGGAAGTGTTATAGGCTGAATTATGTGCCCCCCAAAATTTATATGTGGAAGTCCTAAACCACCAGTACCTCAGAATGTGACTGTGTTTGGAGACAGGGTCCTTAGAGAGCTAATTAAGGTAAAATGAGGTCGCATAAGTGGACCTTAATTCAATATAACTGTTGTTCTTATAGCAAGAGATTAGGGCACGTGTTCACAAAAGGAGGGCCATCTGCCAGCCAAGAAGAGGCCTCAGAAGAGACCAACCCTGCCAGCACCTTGCTCTTAGACTTCCAGTCTCCAGACAGTGAAGACACTCATTTCTGTTGAAGCCACCACGTCTGTACTTTGTCACGGCAGCCCTAGCTAACTAATACCGAAAGCTACATTGTGCACAATGCTATTTTAAACGTGAAGCCACTGGCTCATAACAGTGCTCCTTAAGGATGGATTTCTCCAAATTGTGTTCAGGGCTTTCTTATCAGAAAAAAAAGAATACTTTCTTCTCCATTCTTCCTATTTATTTATTTATTTATTTATTTATTTATTTATTTATTGTTAATCCTCACTCGATATTTTTTCCATTGATTTCTAGAGAGAGTGGAAGGGAGGGAGAAAAGGAGGAAGATTGGGAGCGGGGAGGAAGGTTGGGAGGGAGGGAGGAAAGGAGGGGGGGAGAAACATTGATGTGAGAGAGACACATCAATGGGTTAACCTCCCAAACGTGTTCCAACAGGCCAAAGATCGAAGCTGCAACACAGGTACCTGATCTTGACCAGGAATCGAACCCGAGACCCTTCAGTGTGCAGGCTGGCACTGTAACCACTGTGCAACACCAACAGGGCCATCGTTTCTATTTTAAATAGGGCAGTAATATAATAATCAGTAGCAGTAAAGGAAGAGAATACTAAACAATCTTTGGGGTACATAGAGAGGGGAAGGAAGAAAAAAAAGCATTAGGAAAAAATTAATTTTTTATTGAATTCCCAAAGATGACTTTTAAACCACTCACTTTTCCACTGAAATTCATTCTTGCTGTACATGGATTTTGGCCAGAATTGCTGGTAACAGTATATCCACAATATCAAAGTACTTATTATTTTGTTGTGAGGAGTGGTGTTAAATTACTCCATTTGTAAAACTACAATTGTCCAGCTGGTTTATAGTTCCCTGGGAGGTAAATGTCACACGCTATACCCAGTAAGCATGAACAGAGAGGGCTTATGGCTTAAGAAGAGTTTGCAAAATGCTAATGAAAAGAGAAAGTAAAAATGCTATTTATACTATTTAGTTGCACCACTCGCTATTTAAAAACTAACCTCTCCAATTCCTTTAAGTCCCTATGATTTATGCTCCTTTGAATGTCCTCTATATATAATGTTTCTGCACTTTTTTATGTACCCTCTGAATGTCCATATGCTCTACCTCAAGTTGGGATAATAAATGTATCACATCAAGCATAAGGATTAAATGAAATCATTAGCACAATGTCTAGCATTTGTTAAAGGTCAATAAGAAGAAGCTGTAATTATAATTATCATTGGGGCCCTGATAATGCCTTAAACTCTGTAGATTAACACTATTGCTGCTCTCCACCCACGCACACCACTTTTTTTTTTTTTTTTTTTTTTTTTTTTTTTTTTTTTTTTACCCCTTGCAGCTTTACCTGCCCTTTCCAAAATTAGATTGTGAGACTGGCCAAGATATTAACTTGTTTTCTATATTTAGCCTTTATGCTTGTGTGATGAATATGAATATATAAATGTGTCCATCTTCAATATTACCCACTTAATTCCTTTGCAGTTGTATGTATATACTATGATTTTCCTGGAGAAAAGAGCAAGGGAGGGAGGCCTCTGAAAAATATCTAAATATTAGTGGAAGGCAGACTGAAAAGTAACAAAATCCAAATCCCAAAACTTTTTTTTATTTGGACAAAATGATGCCAGGATTGGAACCAACTTTTTGTTTAATGCCCAGACTGGAAACAGTCCAGGTTTCCTTCAACAAAAGGGGTTGGGGATGAAACTGCGGTGTATTTGTAAGATAGACTACTTACTGCTCAGCAATAAAAAAAAAAAAAAGGAGTGTGTTGTACTACCCACCCCGCCCCCCACACACAGCATTATCATTCTCAAAAAATATGCTGAGTGTGAAAGCCAGACACAAAAAATTATATACTGAATAACTGCAGTTATAAGTTCTAGAAAGGGATAACTAACCTATGGTGATAGAAATCAAGATCGAGGGTTAGAGTGACTGTGAAGGGACATAGACATTTTTCTGAGGTGGTGGAAATGTTCTATCTGCTGATCAGAGTGTTGGTTATCTGGGTATATACAATTGTCAGAACTGTGCATGTCAGCTAGGTAAATTAAATCTCAGTAGAACAAATTTTTTAAAATATATTTTTATTGATTTCAGAGAGGAAGGGAGAGGGTGAGGGAAATAGAGATAGAAACATCAATGATGAGAGAGAATCATTGATGGGCTGCCTATTGCATTCCCTCCACTGGGGACTGAGCCCACAACCTGGGCATGTGCCTTGACCCGGAATCAAACCGTGGACTCCTGGTTCATAGGTTGACGCTCCACCACTGAGACACTGTGGTTGGGCTCAGTAGAACAAAATTTTTTTTTTTTTAAATATATATTTTATTGATTTTTTACAGAGAGGAAGGGAGAGAGATAGAGAGTTAGAAACATCGATGAGAGAGAAACATCGATCAGCTGCCTCCTGCACATCTCCCACTGGGGATATGCCCGCAACCCAGGTACATGCCCTTGACCGGAATCGAACCTGGGACCTTTCAGTCCGCAGGCCGACGCTCTATCCACTGAGCCAAACCGGTTTCGGCAGAACAAAATTTTAAAATGAATAAAATCCAATATTTTGGAAGAAAAAGACATGATGAAGAAAGAAGACTTACCTATTATGAAGTGAATGCCCTCAGTAACAGTTACATAATATCCTATACAGACAGTCCTCGGGGTACATCGGACTCGACATATGTCATTTCGTGGTTACGTCGCCATCTCCCATTTATTTATTAAAAGAAAAAAGTTCCATCATTTTGATGTATGTACATATGTGCTTTATGTTTTTTATTATTTATTTACCACAAGTAAAGGTAAGAAATTGTTATCTTTCTTTTAACTTTTTTTTACTGTTTTACTTCATTACTGCTGTGTTTGTGCTCCATGTGAGTGGTGTAGGTGCTTACGTAGGTGGATTCTGACTTAAAGTGGAAATCACATTTAGTCATTCCATAGGAATCTCCCACGTAATCCAAGGACCTACTGTATAATAAAAGCCTAATATACTAAGTGTCCGAACATTCATTCGACCATTTGACCAGTTGCTATGACACACACTGACCACCAGGGGACAGATGCTCTAACTTGGTAGATTAGCTTGCTGCTGGAGTCCGGCCGATTGGGACTGGGCAAGATGGGCTGGGCATGCCCTGGAGCCCTCCTGCAGTCCCTCCCTGGCCCCGATCGTGCACCAGTGGGGTCCCTC